CAATCAACATGGTGTTTTTACTTTTGCTGTTATTGTGACGCTTGTTAGTCAAATTTAAATATACTCGTATTACTCTATCCTCTAAATGTACAATATGTTTAGTGGAGATTATTTAGCGTCTCATTTACATTAGGTGTAAACATGCAAAAAAAGATCCAGACATCCATCAGTAGTTTTCCAGTGGCCATGATATTTTTGCTTGATTCAGTGTCTGACAGTGAACGATCTGTTTCTCTTTCCAGACTTCACACTGCCACAAGTCTGGTGAAACATTCTGTTCCTGCCCTGCTCCGACCAGCAGGTGGCAGAAGGAGACAGGACTCGTTTTTCCTCTGTGACCTTGCCCTGCAGTCACAGGGTCAAACAACCTCCCACTCTGCTCAGAACAAAAACACAGACTCATGCACACAGAGTTACGCTGCCTGCTTCTGTCTCACACGCTGTTAGGACAACGTAAAGACAAATAAAGTAGAGCTGAAAAACTAGGACGCAGCAGCAGCAGTAGTGGAGCCAAGGGAAACCACCAGTTTATTCTCCTAAACAAGGTAAGACTGCAGATAAACACGAGGTAAACTTTGCCCTGAACTCCTTTGTGCCATGTCACCATGGAAGCTGTAGTATCTGTTGCTTAATAGTTTGTTATATTTTTAGCTATACAGTTATTTTCATGTACTGTATTCAACGTGAATGATCTGCAGTGATCTCTCAGCCACTAGTTATAACAAGTCACGTAGGGATGGTCCATAGTCAAGTCTTAACTCATCTGAAATTTTTTTTTGCACAGACACCAAATATCCTGTTCTCTGAATTAAGACCTCACTGGTTACACACAGAAATCACTACCAAAAAATGTGATGCTCAGAATATTGACAATGCGATCCTGCTAACTTAGGTTTCACAGAGAGAAGGGTTTTGAGAAAGATCACCAGACAGTCCAAGCGAAACACTAATGATCAGGACAATCCGTCTTTAAACTAGAATTACACTCAATAGAGCGCAGGCTTCCACAATGTTTCGAAGAGTGATGCACTTCCTGAATCTGTCCCTTTGTCCAGATCTGTGCCAAAATGTATTTCTGTCCAGTGGCTGAAAAAGCCTACCCCTATGAAAATCCTCTAGAGTCAGATTTTTATTTGGATCTGCCTCAAATTGCACACACTCGTAAATACCAGTCCCTTTAATTTACTTCATCAAGATCCATACATGACTACCTGGAAACTGCTTTGTGCACATAAACAGATCTCCAGCTCTGAAATAAAGAACACTTAAAGAGTTCATTACGGCAAAATAGATAGCAGGTAACTATAGTGATTCACATGCCGTCTTAGAATTTCTTCTTGTAAACTACTGCCACTTTTCATTCACGCAACATAAAATAAAGTGGCTGTAACACCGTGAACTTTCCGAGCCTCTGTAATGTCCATGTAATCAAACCACATTTGTAAGTATGCAACATTCCTGTCTGTTATTCAAAGCGGCCATCTTGACACAAACAGCACCTTTACACCGTAGATTGTGTTGAAACAGAGTTTGCAGTGAAGGAGCTTCTGTGTTAAAGGTCAGAGAGCAAAGAGCAATTCAACACCACAAACTAGACGGAACGTACCATTCACTTTCACGTCTGCAACACGCCACACATGTTGCAATGACGGTGTCATTTGGAGAGTACTGTGTTTTTAAATAAGGCTTGTTTACAGTTCAGTTCATTGCTCGTGATATATATGACAAACTTATTTATTGCCGTATCTATTTTTGTGTTACCCACCCACGCTGTTAGTGTGGTTCTAGGCGGGACAGTGTTGGTCTGTGACCTTTCTGATTCAAAAAGAGAAAGTGTTTTCAGATATTGATTCTAACTTTATACAACATTATTGTGATATTACAGCAGTAGTGCTTTCTCAGTTAACAACCAACATGATGAAAACAGCCTTCAGCCTCACACACACACACACACACACACACACACACACACAC